AATGAATTCTTATGGGTTAGTCGCCTATTCTATAGTCCCTGGGCAGCCTTTGTTCGGGAACCCCGGCAGGAGCCGGAACTGAGCTGGGCTGCCTGCCTGCTTGTCTCCTAATACACTTTAAATGCAAAGCTGCAGTGAGGGTAGGTTCCAGACCTGGCGCAAGCTGAGACTCAGTTGGGTTGCTGGCCAGCCTGCTAAAAAATGTACTTGGGGGCGGGATGTGAGCAGTCTACAGCATTAACCTATAAGCTTTTGGTAATCAGTTATCAACTATACTGTTACAGCCCTAGGCTGTGCTCCCCACTGCTCCAGCCCCACTGGGGATGTGCTCCCTCCGGCAGTATCACAGATGACGCTGGATCAGAGAGTCCCAGATTTTAGAGGTTCAACCTGTATAGATACATTAATAAAAAGGTTTTCAGGCCTTCTTTATCTAAGACAAAAATCTTGTTTTATTTTAGAAATCAAATACATCAGCTCTGTCCTTCCCTGGTTTTACTGGGGTTAGTTGAAGGACAGGGGGAGAAAGTGTCTCTAGACTATATAATATGTGCACTGGATCCTGAATTGAAGGAGTTGGACAGTTGAAACTGACAGTTTTTCCAAAATGTTAACTGTCCATTAAAGCTAAATAATACCCAAAGCTTTAATAGTCATGCTGTGACCTGTTTACATTAGAGAATTTTAACAAGCTTTGCACTTGTGCTACAACTGGTTCAGTGCATCAGTGTTATCTGTGTGTGCTACTTGATGTATGTCCCACAATCCATACAAGTCAGCTATGCAGGGGTGGCCCGTCCTTATAGGCGAACTAAGCACCAAGTTAAATGGGACACAATGGGGCGCCAAATGGTGGTGCAATATCGTTGAGGAGTTTGGAGGTAGGGGAGCCAATTGCATGGTTCGCCTAGGGCGTCAGTTGCTGGTAGCTAGTCTGAGGCCGCTCCTGCATCTGAGAGAATTATTAATTAATGGTATTTAGACAGAGTTACGATGAAACTTTCTGGCATATGTAGGCAACTTAAACATGTAGCTAAGTTAATTTAGCAGATCCCTATGGGAATATACCTAAGGGAAACTATTGCTGTCTTAAATAAATGAGACACTTACATAGAAAGAGAACTAACAAAAAAAAGAGGACTATGATATGCAACAATGGATATAATATAGGGCTGTGTCTACACTGGCGCGATCTTGTGCCAAAGCAGCCGCTCTTGTGCAAAAACTAGCTGCCTGTCTACACTGGCCGTGTGTTCTTGTGCAAGTATACTGACGTTCTAATGTATGAAATCAGTGCTTCTTGCGCAAGAACTATGATGCTCCCGCTCAGGAATAAGCTCTCTTACGCAACTATTCTTGCGCAAGAGGCCAGTGTAGACAGGCAACATGAACTTCTTGCGCAAGAAAGCCCTATGGTTAAAATGGCCATCAGAGCTTTCTTGTGCAAGAGAGCATCTACACTGACATGGATGCTCTTGCGCAAAAGCACATCTCTTGTGCAAAAGCACATGCCAGTGTAGATGCTCTCTTCTGGAAGAGTTTTTGCACAAGAACTCTTCCTCAAAAGAGTTCTTGCGCAAGAAGCTGCCAGTGAAGACATAGCCTTAAGTGTATATTGATGGGGAAAAAAATTACAAGACGCTGTAGACCAGGCCCCCTTCTTGCAAGCACGTATGTGAATAACTGTGTATGTGGATAGTTCACTGAAGTTTGTAGGGCTATTCATGCACATAAATATTCTCAAATCCAGGGTCTTATTTTGTAGGGGAAGAAACAATGGTGTATGTTATTGGATATTGGGCAAAGTTTAGTTAACATGAACAGTCACAAACAGCTTGAAGTTTGCTATTTTCTGACCTTTGAGTATAGCGCTTCGCTACTAACTTTTTTCCTATAGTTTCTGTGGAATATTATCAACATCAACCTAAGTCCAGTATGTGTTGTTCCATTAGGCAGCAGCTGCTTTTGTAATGTTTCCAGTTCAAGTTATAACCACTGTTGACTCACGTGTAGTTCAGCTTGATTATTTGGACGGAAGATTGCTTATTTCTTCACTTACTCGCTCTTACTTGTGCGATACTGAGAGGTAAGTTCTATGCTAACTGAAAAAGTACCAAGACGTATCTTGTATCGGGAAACTGATTCAAATGGATCACTTGAAATTACCACCATTTAGCTGGTCGTACATAGTCATCATCAAAGAGACTTATTGGCATATTGTAGACTAGATGTCACCTGCTTGCAGTATTAACTTAATTCTTTGTTTTGTGTCTGATCTTAGGATTTGGGTTTCATGGTTTTAAAATGAATTATAGCTTTACCTTTAGTTATAGCTCTTCAGAATAGTGTTTATCTGCACAGCACATGCAGTTTGACACACCTACATTTTGAGCCAAGCATAGACAGCAAGAAAAATACTGGTCCTGCTGTGTAGATCCTACTTAGATAGACCCAATTGACCGTGGTCAAATAGTGCAAAAATAATTTAGATTGATAATGCAAAATAAATAGTAAAAATTAATGCAAGAAAGATGCAGCGTTTTCATAAAGTACAAGTGTAAAAGTCATGCAAAACTGACTTGTATCAAGCAAACAGGGTTAGTTTTTGTTAAACTGTAACTATCTCATCACTCTATACTTAGAACTATAATCAGATTTTTTGAGTTAACATAAATGTTACCATATCAAATACAAACTAAGAAATGTTTTGGAAGTTTAGGTTTACGAATGTCCTTTGGTGGTGTGACAAAGTCAGGCAGAGGGCTACAAGAGAATGGTGGAGGGGAAATATATTAGCCCCATAGTAAATAGGTCCCTGCTCTTAGGGTAGACTAGCAAGGGCTAGCCCAGAACCAGCAGGAACCTGTTAAAATAAATCAGGGCATTTAGGCCAATTAAAACATCTTGAGCCAATGAGGGTTTCCAGAAGCAAGGGAGTCAGACTAATCAGAATACCTGAGGCCAATTAACAACCAGTTGAGACTGGTTAATAAGAGCTCCTCTTCAGTTTAGATTGTGGAAGGAATTTAAAGAGAGAGGGAGATGTGGAGAGCCAGAGAGGAGAAAGTGAAAGCAGGAGGAAGAAGGTGCTGGGGAAGTGGCTGAGGGTTTTGTAGCTGTCAGCTGTTACCATAGATGTTACAGATAGCTGCTATCATAAGGTCCCTGGTGCTGGAACCCGGAATAGAGAGCAGGCCCAGGTTTCCCCACCATCAGCTCCCATTTCAGCACTAGAAAGAGACTGGCTTTGGTACAGGAGTTTCTTGTCCTAGATCACTCGGAGGGGCCACAGAGACTATGAAGTTTGGTTTCCCATGCTAGCCAATGATGAGAGTAGCTCAACAAACAGCAAGGTGGTGTCTAAATTGAGGGCTACTCTGAGCCTATGAGGCAAGTAATCCCTCCTGAAAGCACGGAACCCATCAAGGTTGAGGAGGAGCTTTGTTACAGTGAATACAGTTCTTTAAGGAAATATTAAAATGAAACAGAGCCTTTTTTTTTACATTGACTAAACATATTTTTCCCCCTCCCAGAGAAAAATTCTGGAAAATTGGTAACAAAGAAAGAGATGGAGAATACGGCGCCTGTTTTTTCCCAGTTGGAAGGAATTGTGGGAACCAGCAGCCATTAATATATTGTGCACGTCCTGGGTCAAGGATGTGGGAGGTGAACTTTGAAGGGGAGGTGCTAAGTACCCATCAATTCAAGCAGCTGCTGTCATCACCTCCTCTCCCAGTTATTACTCTAAGGTAGTGGTATCAATGGTGGCTTGTGATAAATTGGGTTATGGTTTCATTCCATGACTTTCTGTGAAAGCAACACTGTGAGAATCACAAAATATAGTGACAAAAAGTCATGAACAAACACTTTACCCTACAGCTTTCATTTTGCATCTGTACCATATAGCATCCGCTTGTCCACCCACTTGCATCAAAGAATTGTGTTGTTTTAAAAGGAGGAGTGGGGGAATCCAGCTTCTGACCCACGACAAAAAGTTAATTCTTAAATACTGACTAATATCATGCTTTCCATTTCAATTTGAAGTCAATTTTTTCTTGTATATCTTTATGTTGGCAGCAGCTATGTGGAGGAGTGCTGTAAGAATTGATTTCTTTATTTCATAGGTGTCAAGTATCAGAGGGGTAGCCGTGTTAGTCTGAATCTGCAAAAGCGACGAGGAGTCCTGTGGCACCTTATAGACTAATATGTTGGCAGCAGCTATGTGGAGGAGTGCTGTAAGAATTGATTTCTTTATTTCATAGGTGTCAAGTATCAGAGGGGTAGCCGTGTTAGTCTGAATCTGCAAAAGCGACGAGGAGTCCTGTGGCACCTTATAGACTAATTGAAGTGTAGGAGCATAAGCTTTCGTGGGCAAAGACCCACTGACGAAGTGGGTCTTTGCCCACGTTTCCAGAGGCAGGAATAAATATGCAGGCCAGGATCAGGCTGGAGATGACCAGGTGGATCCAATCAAGGAGGATGAGGCCCACTTCTAGCAGCTGATCTGGAGGTGTGAATTCCAAGAGAATAGAAGCTGCTTTTGTAGTTAGCAAGCCATTCACAGTCTTTGTTTAATCCAGAGTTGATTGTGTCAAACTTAAAGATGAACTGTAGCTCAGCAGTTTCTCTTTGAAGTCTGGTCCTGAAGTTTTTTTGCTGCAGGATAGCTACTTTTAGATCTGCAATTGTGTGTCCAGGAAGATTGAAGTGTTCCCCTACAGGTTTTTGTATGTTGCCATTCCTAATATCAGATTTGTGTCCATTGATTCTTTTACGTAGGGACTGTCCTGTTTGGCCGATGTATATAGCAGTGGGGCATTGTTGGCACATGATGGCATATATTACGTTGGTGGATGTGCAGGAGAATGTACCAGTGACAGTATGGCTGATCTGGTTAGGTCCTGTGATGGTGTTGCTGGTGTATATATGTGGGCAGAGTTGGCACCGAGGTTTGTTGCAAGGATTGGTTCCTGAGTTCGAGTTATTATGGTGCGGTGTGTAGTTGCTGGTGAGAATATGCTTCAGGTTGGCGGGTTGTCTGTGGGCAAGGACCGGCCTACCTCCCAAGGCCTGTGAGAGCGAGGGGTCATTGTCCAGGATGGGCTGAAGATCACTAATGATGCGTTGGAGAGGTTTTAGCTGGGGACTGTAGGTGATGGCCAGTGGTGTTCTGTTGGTTTCTTTCTTGGGCTTGTCCCGTAGCAGGAGGCTTCTGGGTACACGTCTGTCATGGAGGTTGGGTCCATGGAGTGGTATTAGCCAGGGGGTAGGAGTGGTGTCCCTGCCCAAAGTTTGTGGAAGGCTGGAGACGGATGGCACAAGACAAATGGCTTGGTCACTGTCTTCGGTCCATCCCCTCCTGGGTCCCTAGGGTTGGCCGCTGTCGGCAGACAGGCTACTGGGCTAGATGGACCTTTGGTCTGACCCAGTACGGTCATTGTAAGCTCAGGGTCGGGGGTCTCAGTGGACCCCCTTGATTCTCTTGCACACCTGCTCCTGGGTGGGCAGGCTGGCAGG